CTTAATTGTTAGAGTAGTATGATGATGGAATCCATGACCTCGGGAGGTGGTGAACATTCCAACACTGGTGACATTCAAGGAAAAACCGTCAGTCAAATCTGCCTGGATTGGGATTCCTGCACTGAGCAAGGGGTTGCACTGGTAACATTCAAGGAAAAACCATCAGTCAAATCTGCCTGAATTGGGATTCCTGCACTGAGCAACGGGTTGGACTCACTGAGCTTATTTATCAGTCCTTTCCAACTCTGTTATTCTGTGATTCCACGATTCTATGAAAACCATTATTCCTGGGCGTATTTATCAGTCCTTTCCAACTCCATTATTCTGCGATTCCACGATTCTATGAAAACCATTATTCATTCCCAAGGACAGTCTTTCCAGACAGGAAAATCTCATTTCCCAGATATTAAAATCATTTCCTCCGCTCTGCAGATTCCTCCATGTCAACAAGACTTGACTAGAGGTCTCGAGGTTCGCTGGACATTCTGCCGGAGATATTTGCTTAGTTCTTCATCCTCACCATTTCGGCTGTCCTGACTCTAATCTGTCTTTCTGTGTTCACGCCAGAAGCACCGCAGGACAATTCAAGGATTTATTTGATAACTTTTGCCCAGGGATGAGCAATGTCATAGCCCAGGTTCTTCTTCGTTCTTGTTAGAAGCAACCCGGTGGTGCTCCCAGAGTGGAAAAATCAGCCAAGAGAGTGCTGTTGTTGCCCTGGGGAGACCCAAAAGGGTTCAGAGGGCCCATCCTCACAGCTGTTAGATATGATATATGGGTCACTGAGGACACAGTTTGGGTCGGGGGGGGAATGGTCCATCCTTCCCCCTTAAGAGCTGTTGCGCACCTTTCTGGCCCAGCTGTAGGGCATGCAATCCTTTTGTCATGCTCAGTTAACTGGAAGAGAACAGCCTCGGCTTCCAAGAGAAAAAGTGGGGGAAGACTGAGGAAAAGGAAGCAGGGAGGGAAGAAGGGAGAAAAATGGAACAGCACTGGAGAGAGAGAGAGAGAGAGAGAAAGAGAGAAGAGCTGTGTAAAAAACAATAATAAATTCACTTCCCCTGATCCTCCGCAGAAGATCAGGGGAAGCGCCTAAATGTCAGCTGATTGGACTACAAGGGATCATTTGCTGTTTGGATAGAGAGAACATGTCAAATAGCTCATTGCTTCTCCCCACAACCTCAGCAGAGCCTGTGTAGTCTGACACCCCCCCCAAAAAAAAGACCAGTGTGGACAGGCCCACCATCCTCACATCTTTAGGGACAGTGTCTCCCAAAAGAACACGTTGAAGGGCACAGTGTAGACTGACGTCGGTTCTCATAATGCTACTCTGTGACTTCCATTGCCTATTTTGTGGGCGGCCATGTTTGTGTGTGTGCACGCGCGCGTGTGTGCGTGCGTGTGTGTGCACACACACACACGCTAGACTTTCCTGGGAACCCTGACTCAGCGACACATCTCAGCAAGCAATGTTCAAGATTTTCCACTTCTGGGCCAAAGTGAAAAAAGAAGTCTAATTTGTAAAATTTTTGGTCATCAACTTCTCTGTAAATCCATCCAGGGTTGGGCAATAGGTTAGCTGGATCACTAAAAAGCAGCAAACCAAATGAACTTTTGAGTTCTGCAGAACTCTGCGTCAGGCATGGATGGTAGAAGAGCCTCGTAGTGCAGGGCTTAAACTGCAGCGCTGCAGTCAAGACTCTGCTCACGACCCGAGTTTGATCCCCATAGGCTCAGTTCAGCTAGCTCATGGTTGGCTCAGCCTTCTCTCCTTCCAAGATCAGGAAAACAAGTATCCAGACTGTAACTTGTAAACTACCCAAAGAGTTCTTTAAGCACTACAGGGCAGTACTGAGTAAGCAACACCCTTGGTATACAATCTGGCAAATGGTTCCCAATCAAGGCCAAGTTCCACCTTTGGGTTAGGAAGCCATCATCCTCACTCCGTGTGAGGCATCAAGGCTCCCCAAACCCACCCTGTCCTGCTAAGGGTGGAGAAACCCCTGCCTGTATTATCCCGGGGTCCCTGCAGCTTGATTTTATGGACCGGTTATAAAGCCGCTTCCTATGTTTCTCGGTGCTGAGCGGTCCTTGGCCCTTTCTGGGATTCTGAAGGCCGCCCAACCCACAGACCCCTCAACTGAGCCCAGAGGCGGTTTCCGATGGTTCGCGGCCACCCACTAAAACCTCCCTCGGCTCCTCGGGCCAAAAGCCCAGCCTCGATACGTCTCCTCCGGTCCAACGATTACTCACGGAGGATTTGCGTGATGGCTTTATCCCCTCCTGGCTGCCCCAGCCATCGCAGGCTCGGGGGGGAGGGGGAGAGAAGAGCCAACGTGGTTGGTTTTGGCCAGGAGGGGGCCGTTGGGACGAAGCACAACCCGCCACAAATAGTTGGGGAAAACAAAACCAGAATTTCAGAGCCAGGAAGCTTGAGCACTCGCAAAGCTGGGGCTGCAAAGCCATCAAGCCGAACTCCTCCGATGCTCTAATCTTTTCCAACTGAACAAGGATCTCTCAAACCTGCTTGGCTCCTTTCCTCCCAATCCACCTGCATCGACGGCCCATCCTTTGTTTCTTTGCGGTTTCCTAGCAAACCCCAAAGCGAAATCCATACGCCGTTTCCACTCGTCTCCATGCTTCCCACCCCCAAAGGGCGAACACATCTTTTCCGCTGACTAAAATATGTTTGATACCACTGCCACCAACGGTGCACATTGCAGCCACTGGGGTTTTTCCAAACAACGCATAGGTCGGCCGGCCTTTGGTTCTTCTAAAACAGAAGGTGAGCCCGGCAGACGTGCCGACGGCCCCACCGAGCTGTGCTCGGCTTCATAATGAGCTTTGTGAAGCATGAAATAGACTTTTGCATCGAGCATCTTGACTCCAACAACATTCTTTTCCATCTCCCCGACAGCCCCTCTCCGCGGCTCTCTGTCTCCTGCCCTTACATTGCTGTCTCTCTGTTGACTTTTTCTAGGGTTGACGTCTTGTTGGTTTTAAGCCCGTTTCTATTGGTGTTGGAGAGACGTCCTTGAGGCGACCTTTGGGATCCGCACACTCGGATTTCAGCGGTTTCTGCATAGCGTGGGCCGTTGTGACCTGAATGTAGGACCTCAATGTAGCACTCATGGCTTCTCTCTCCCCACCCCCCAATACAGGTAGTTCTCATTTATACAGGCTGAAGCAGATAGGCTCAAGTCTGTTTCAACCTGTATAAAATTACAGAAATGAAAAACAAGGCAGAACAGCAGTATCTTAACAGCTGGAAGACGGAAGGGGCCACCATAATTTTTGTTTCAGTTACGTCTTGGCAGCAACGTTGCCATTATAATTATTGTTGCTTCGACTGCACAAGTAATTTATTGCATTATTAAAATATTGTGTTACTGTTGCTGGCAGTAACACAAAAAACACAAGAAAATACTCTCTGGTTCCCTCTAGTGGCCATTTCCGATATTACACCTCGTACAAAGATAACTCAAAGTTTGCTTCTTTGTTCGTTGGATTGATTGATACATCATCCTTTTAGTGAAAACACTGTTCTCAATACTTCCCTTGCTTTTAAATTTGATTTTTAAAAATCTGGCATAAAACCTTTTCAAACCCTTAGCAACATGGTTCTAAAAATGCCTAAAAAGATTTTTTTTTTTTGCAATAAGAGAAGTTGTTGCTATTTGAAAAGTAACTTGGCGATGACTTCTAACATTGTTTTTCTGTAACTTTGTAGCTACTCATGAATTCCTCATTATCCAAAAAGTAACTGGATGCATGTAACTATGTTCCTCAGAAGGAGGAAGGCAGGGTAAAAATAGTTTGAATGAATGAAATAATAGATTAATTAGTTAATTCCAAGCTAATGGTTGTTGTGGGTTTTCTGGGCTCTTTGACCATGTTCTGAAGGTTGTTCTTCCTAAAATTCCATATGGCAAACCTTCAAAACATGTCCAAAGAGCCCGAAAAACCCACAAAAACCATTAGATCCTGGCAGTGAAAGCCTTTGCGAATGCATTAATTCCAAGCTCTTTGCCTTTCCAAGACCTTCTAACCTGCCTCATCCTTTGAAAAGAAGTCTGTCTGAGAACCAGAGAACTTCTGCAAGAAAAAGATTTGTGCTGTGATTCTGAGTGATGAGTCCTCCCTCTCGTGCACATCTGACCATCTGTGCAGGTTTCCTTTTTGACTTTTTATACAGCGGAGCATAAGCTACTGCAGCAACATAAATTAGAATAAGAGACACCACGTGGAGCGGTGGCAGCTGGTGCACCAAATTTAGGGAGCTTATTTGGTCCCTCCTTTTATAACCATGCACAGAAAAGGAGAGAGGAGGAGGAGAAAGAGAGAGAGAGAGAGAAAGGGGAAATACACCATCCTGTCCTAAGTTACCATATTTTTTTGTGTATAAGACTAAGTTACCATATTTTTTATGTATAAGACCCCCCCCTTTTCTAACCAAAAAGTAAGAACTCTAAGTGGGACTTAGCAAGTGTAGGGGGAAAGGGATCAAATCCCTGGAGGATCGCTTTGATCCCTGCTTTCCCCTCCACTTGTTTTTGTTCTCTCCTCAGCTTACTTCTGTGTATAAGATGACCCTCAATTTTTATTCTAAAGATTTTAGACAAAAGTATAGTCTTATACACTGAAAAAATATGGTATCAGGGAGTAAACTCTGTTGAGCACAGTGGTCCTTACTCCTGGCTGTCAATTAAACCAATAAAAACATAATTGATTGTTCTTCAAACACCCGAAAGGCAAATCATTAATGAAAATGCAAAAAAATAATAATCTTGGCACAGAGGCATAACAATTTCAACTGCGAATGTGAAATAACGATACTCTCAAAGAGAGAGGAATAGGCATGTTTTTTTGCTGGATGCTTTTCCTTTCTCTGTCGTCCTCTGCACAAGGTTGCTCTCGAGAAACTTGAAAGCCTCGTCCTCACCGCACTCGCCTTGCGAGAACCCAGAGGCCCGCACCGTCACCTTGCCAGCAACTCTTACCTGCTAGTATGAAAACACCCACAAGGATCAGGAAAACGAGCAAATAGAGGCCGACCACGGCGTATTTAAGGGCCGCCAAGGATCCCGGGTGGCCACAGAGGCCCGGCAACTTCTTTCTTCTGCCCGGACCTAAAGAGAAGCAGAGAAAGGCCTGGTTAACATCTGACACACACTCTCTCTCTCTCTCTCTACTTCAATGAATATGTACGGGAAAATGACATTTACATTAAAACAGAAGGCAGAGATGATTGTATGGCTCCTTGTTCATGACGGACAGTGGTAGGAAGGGGAAATTAGTCCATCCAACCGAGTGCTGGAAGAGGCTGGATCACAAGTCCCAGAATCCCCAGCCAACATAATTCTGGAATCTGTAGTCCCCCCAAAAGTAGCTTTTTCCCAAACTCCGCACCATGCCTAAGTGGAACCTATGGCTTCCAAAGCAATCTATCTTGGGGCTGCAGCTCCTGGAGAGCCATCCATGGGCAAATAGGACTGCCTTTCCCTGTGGTTTCTGGCAGAGATTTGCAGGTGAGATTAGCTCAGCGCTGTGCCATCTCTAAAACCTGCCCGTGGAAAAGCAGGACACAGCTAGGAAGGGCTACATCTGGAGCAGATCAACCTTGCAGGGTCGTCGTTAGCCTCCGAATGACAAAACTAGGAAAAGAGGAGAAGGAAAACTTTGGTCCAGAGTTGTGCAAAAATGTCCTTTCACACAAGGGTTCTTTTGTTTCTGGACTCCTCCAGCAGACTGGGGGGGGGGGAATAAATAAATAAAAGAGCTCCCTTCCACCAAAATATCATGATATCAGTTTTGGCTTGCAAGCCTCGAAGGATATTAAGGACGCCAGCCTTTGACGGAGCCGCAAAGGGGGTGGATCTGAAGATCGGGTTTTGAACTCCAGAGCCAGATACAAAAGAGGAAAGTGCTCACAAAGAAGTTTTTCTTCTTTTCATTTAAGACACCCACCCACAAACTCTTGCAAAACAGACTTTTTAAAAAATGAATCTGGCACAAGGAATTTCTCACAAATGTTTTGCCAACAGGAGGAATCTGGCGTGGAGCTCGCGGGCTGATGTTATTCGCCCTGAAACGAGTCTCTCGCAGAGCAACAGGAGGCACCAGAAATCGCCAGGCGCTAAGAAATGGGAGAGGAGTTTGCAAGAGCATGTGAAGAGCGCCATACCCACTGGGACCCACGTTCCTTTTTAAAAGTTTGCAGCTTGGATGTATTCCCCCCCAGTGTCAGCTGAAAAGAGGAGGCCACCCCTGACGAAAACAGGATGCGCCTGACGCTATGCCAACCTGTAGATGACCTCCAAATCAATGATTTAAAAATTCCCTACCCATTAGGAGCTATCAGGGGGTGTTCAATTACAAATCCCATCATCCCTGGCCAGCAGAACCAATGGTATGGAACAGTGGGAGTTGCCACCCAAGAAAATCAGGAGGGCTGGGGTATCCTCTCTCTCTCTCTCTTTCAAATAAATATTTGCCTCCCATAAGCAGGGGCACTCTTGCTTCCACCTTCAGTCTGGAAGTTGTGCAAAGTTCAGCCTCTCAATCCCGGCACCCTTTTCTAGGGTTTCACATGTGTTTTACAGAATCCTAGAATGATGGAAGGGGCTTCTAAGGCCATCCAGTCTGACCCCCTGCTCACGGCAGGAATACAGATCAAAGAATGTCTGCCAGGTGGTGGTCTAAGTTTCTCTTGAAGGCCTCCAGGGTTGGAGGGCTCACCACCTCTCAAAGTCATCAATTCCATCATCATACTGCTCTAATGGTGAAGAGGTTTTTCCTGTTGTTCAGCCTATCTTTCAAGGATTTGAAAAATGCTATTCAATTTCTCCTCCGCCTTCTTCTTCTCTCAAGGCTAAATATGGCCAGTTCTTTCAGTCTCTCACTCAGACTAGATGACCCTCAGGGGTCCCTTCCATCATTCTGTTTGAAATCAAGATCAACAGCTTGTTCAAGGAAGCACAAATCTCATCTGTATCTCTGCCTCCCTCTTGGAATTTTATTTTTAGGGCCTTGAAGATTTTTTTTAAATCTGAAATTCCCTTCTGGAAGCCTGGGATCTTTGCACCAGAGAAAGCCAAGGAAAGAGAACCGACTTGTAATTTGGTTCCCCACAGCTTTGGATGAGAGAGACTTCGGGAATATGTAGCTTTTATTTGTTTGAATCTTTCGATTTGGGCTTGAATTCATGTTGTCACGATCGAATTTCAATGCCACATCTGGCCAACGTCCTCATGTTTGTATTGCTCCTTAAGAAAAGTGCCTTGCAGAACCAAGAAACTTCCATTTGAGCCAAAAAAAAAGAGAGAGAGAGAGCAAAGAATGTTTTATGTTCCACAGGTTGTGACTGATGCTTAACCTCTGCCAGAGAGGCTGAAATGCACTTCGGGAAGTTCCCGCTTTCACCCTGGTGCTGACAAAGCCACTCAACCACGGATCGCCTTTTCATATACAGTGGTGCCCCGCATAACGGGCGCCCTGTTTAATGATGAATCCGCAGTGACGGCTTTTTTGCGACTGCAATTGCGTTCGCATTGCAATGTTTTAAATGGTATAACATCGCTTTGCAACGATCGGTAAGCTGTTTCGCTTACCGATTTTCCCATAGCGATGTTTTTTCTAACAGCTGATCGGCGATTCCAAAATGGCCGCTGGGTAAAAAAATGGCTGCCCGCAGTGTTTTCGCGCCCTTTCCTCACTTACCGGGCAGCAAAAATGGCGGCCATATGGAGGATTTTCGCATAACGGTGAGTTTTTTGCCCATAGGAACGCATTAAATGTGTTTTAATGCATTCCTATGGGCTTTTTTTGTTCCACATAGCGACAAATCCATATAGCGACACATCCGTATAGCGACAATTTTTCCGGAACGGATTATCGTTGCTATGTGGGGCACCACTGTAATGAAAATTTCATGGGCCCATGCCAACAGCACCCGATCCTTAGTATGTCAGACCTAGCTATGGGGACAGAGGCTTTTCCCTACATCCTGCCTGGATCACAGCTTGACGAGGGTTCAGAACATCCAGTCATCCAAAATGCTGTAGCTGGATTGCTGACCGAGGCCTCTTACATGGAACACCCCTTGCTATAAAAACTTTGCCGGCCACTGGATTGTTCCAAAGTCCTGGCTAGAATCTATAAAGCGCCACCCTGTTTGGCTCGAGGCTGTCTGAAGGACCACATCTCCCCGTATGAGCCTCCCGGACTCTTACAATCTTCTGGGGAGGCCTTTCTCTCGGTTTCTGAGGCTCTCCTGGGCTCATTGGGGAGGATGCGAGACGGGGCCTTTTCAGTGGCTGCTCCCAACTTATCGCACTAAGCAACAGGATTTCAGCCAAATTCGGTTTTACCCATCTGACCCGATCCGCACAGACCTCATGCCTGTGGGTACTGGCACCGTGAGAAGCCCGGGAAATATCAACGGGATACAGGGTCTTCTCAGCAATGGCTGCGTCCTTATGGAATGCTCTCCAGCAAGCGTTACAGCAGGCGCCCTCCATTCATGCCATTAAAAAGCTCCTGTAGACAAGACTTGTTTTGGGAAGGTTTTGGACATATTCTCCCCAATTAATTGGGAACAGACGTTGGAGAAAGGGAGGCCCATGTTATCTTGAGTAACCTTTGTTTTGCCGCCTGCCTTGTTTGCTTATTTCTAAAGATAATTTAGCCACTGTATAGTAGATTTTATAATTATGTTTTATTTACATACTATATATACCCTGTTTCCCCAAAAATAAGACCTAACCTGAAAAGAAGCCCTAGTAGGATTTTTCAGGGTGCTCATAATATAAGCCCAACCCCAAAAATAAGCCCTATTTAAGTCAAAACCCACCCTCCACCCTTCACCAGAAGATGACAGGACTGTATTTGAATCAATGTCAATGGTTGTACATGAAAAAAAAAATCCCCTGAAAATAAGGTTTAATGCTTTTTTTGGAGCAAAAAATAATATAAGACCCTGTCTTATTTTTGGGGAAACATGGTATGTATATTTGTACACCACCCAGAGTAGCAATTTTGCTAGACAGGCAGTATAAAAATGGAATGAATGAATGAATGAATGAATGAATGAATGAATGAATGAATGAATTGTTTTTAAGTATTTGTTGAGTTGCCTTGAGTCCATTATACCAGGAGAAAGACGGAACTACAGCCCAAAAAGTTGGCAGTGAGATATAGATGACAGTCTCAATTCCTTCTAACCTGCACACCTTAGGATGTGACTTTGTAGTCCTCCCGGTGAAGACCTTCCTCTGACACCAGCACCTGGAGAATTGCAGACCTGTAAAGCTGGAAGGGACCCCACGAGACCAGGGTCATCCAGTCTCACCCCCTGCCAAAGGCGAAGCCATTTAAACCATTTGAGAGTGGATTCACCTCCCAGGGAGGTTTCCAAACCATCCTGGGGTGACCATCCGCTGCTGGAGATGCTTCAGGTGTGGATTCCTGTATCACCTGGAAGATTAACTAGATAGCCCTCGGAGGTCCCTTTCAAACCCCACAATTCTGTGATTCCATGAAGAAGCTCACGGGTATCGAATCACATCCAAGCAGTTGATCAAGACAGATGGTTTCTTTACAGAGCAGATGCTGGTTGAAGAGAACCTTCTTTTCCTCCACAGAAATGCATGCATGCCCATTTTCTTCCATCGTTATCTGCAGCCAGATAGGATTTTTTTGAATAAGATGGGAGGCAGATGTCGGTCGAGTGTCCACACGACACATGACTCACCCTAATCTCACTTTCTAACTTGCCTTCTGCTACTTTGCCAGGGGAGGAGGGGAGGACCACATCCTCAACAGCTGAGTCCCATTATCCTGGAGGCTCCCCAAAGTCAGAGCCTAGAGGCAAGACTTCATATTTGCCTGTTCCAGAAACGGCAGCCAGGTTCGTTCTTCAAGGCCAGCTGCAAATTTATCCCATCTCCTCATGCTTTATTGTCCTGTGTTCCTTCCTTCCCCTCCACGTTGTGGGGTACATACGTGCACGCACCAGCACGTGCAATACAACGGCCTTGATGAATTCAGAAGCACCAGAATATGTGTTGGCTGTTCTCAGCGCCGGCGGTGCATTTAATGTGACAACACAGGGACCATGTTGCTAGACCAG